GCAGGTGTTAAAGCACTCTAGAAAGCCCAAGCCAGAGCAAAAGAAATCACTAGTGAGATAAAACAGTGGACCTTGAGAGACAGGCCAAAGTAGAAATATCCATTATATAATGAACCAAGGAGGAAATGGCTTCAAGCCTTTGAAAATTGCCTGTCTTTTCCAATTTATAAAAGAATTCTGGCTCTAAGCATTTCTGTTTAAGCCTAAAATTTATATTCCCAGAGATACAGTATTCTTTAAATGGAAATTAATGGCCATGCAAATCCCCAAGCACTAAATTAATCTGTTATATGCCTACAGCACAGTACTACTAAATCTATTCTGATATCACCTAATCAAATTCAAGGGTGTTTTCCTATAGGAAAATGTACTCTAAGCTCCAACCAAGAAAGCTAGAAACACGTATTTTTGCTTTGGTTTTTGTTTTCTGTTTAAGACACAGGGGACACAGGTAGTCCTATGGGGGCTCTACCAAGGAAACTCCAACACGGGTGGGGAAAAAGAGAAAGCAGTGGACTCCTCGGGGTATCTGGAGGTGGGCAATTCTACTGACACAAGATAAGCCACTGCTCCAGGCTGTCTCCACTGAGCAGTTCAAACACCAAGGGCCAAAGAGATCTAGCTAGAGTTCTATGCCTGTATCTTCAGAATCCAAACTGTGTCCTTCCAGGCGCTGTAGTGCACATCTGTAATCACAGCAACTTGAAAGGCTGAAGCAGGAGGATCTCAAGTTCGAGGCCAACCTTGGCTACTTAGCAAAATCATGTCTTAAAAATAAAAAGGGCTAGGAAGCTAGCTCAGTAGTGGTACATTTGCCAGGTGTGTGCAAGGCCCTGAGTTCCCCAGTACCACTAAAGAGTACAGTAGTATCCATGCAGACCCTGCACCCAGGTAAAGATGCTGCGATCGAAAAAGATGGAACAATTCACTGTAGTCCATGGTCAGCAGCCCCAGCATACCCCCACTCAGGCTGACCTGTCCAGACAGAGGTGACCTTACTTACACATGTGCCCTGAGAATGAATGAAAGAGCACAGATTTCACCCTCTGCAAGAGGAACTCGGATTCATAAAATAGAAAGCCACAATCATTGTTAAGGACTAGAACAAGGAACTGAGTGATGCTACTTGTTATACTAAGTGATTATAGTATTCTGGTAAGTACACTGGTTATACCAGTTAAGTATTTTATCCTTCAATAATTATGTATCTCACTCTTTCTTAATGAGCACTTTTTTTCTTCTCAAATACTGTAGTTTCACAGTAAGAGTTACTGTGACTACTGCAGCAAGAAGACAATTTTTCAAAAAGTAATGCAGTTTATTTTAACTCCATAGAAAACATTAATATACAGCCACCGCACCACCAAGTTGGATACTGGGAGAGCTCACGCTCACTGTGAAAATATAAAATGCATGGGCTGGCTTGTGCCCCACCCCCCACCCCCATGCTGGCCAGTCTACACCCATGACCTTCAAACATACATAACCCCTACTTGTTGAAAGAAAACTTGATTTCCTTATCAAAAGGGTCAGTTTGCAAGTATCAGTCACTTCACTTTGAAAATCTTTTTTTCAAACTTACTGTTAATGAAAGCAACAAATGATAAAATTTTGTCTAACAAACCAATTGTTTGAAAAAAAAACTGTGGGAATTCCCAGGGTAAAATTGACACCTATAAACACCATTTTTAAGAATAAAACTGGAGAGCTGGGCATGGTGGCGCACGCCTGTAATCCCAGCACTCAGGAGGCTGAGGGAGGAGGATCGCTGTGAGTTCAAGACCAGCCTGGGCTACATAGTAAGTTCCAGGTCGGTCTCAATTACATAGTGAGATCTTGTCTCAAAAAATAAAAAAATAAAAAAATAACTCAATGGGTTCATCATCAGTATGAAAAAAAGAAAAAAGAAAAACTTGGGTGGCAGCTGTTGGATTTCTGGGGATTACTCCCTTCCCCTTAAGGACTCTAACCCCCACTCAGATTCACTTGCTCTTAGATGCATTCTGTGTTACTGCAGTGCTGTGTCCTGGCTTCCTCCTGCAACACCCTATGTGTTTTTAAACTCTCCTGTTAGTTCAGCATGGGAACTAGAAGATAAACCATTTGAGATGCCTGCTGATTAAAGCAAGCCCACGCCACCAAGGATTTAGCTCAGTGGTTCCGCTGCCTGCCTCACAAGAACAAGGTCCTGAGTTCCACCCCCAGTACCAAAAAAAAAAAGTAAGCCCACACCACAAGGTGGACTCTCTTTTCTGCACAGGACAAGCCGCTCCAGTGAGCCTGGCACACAGAAAACATATGCACACACTGCACTCACCTAACACATTTGATTAATGCGCACAAGTCTACTTAACTTATTTATTATCTATCTCCATTTAAAGTCCACTTGCAAAAATGTTCCTGTCAGAAAAAATTACTATCATAACTCCGATTTTCGTTCTATATTAAGGACATTTCAGGATGGAGATTTCTCCAGGAAGCCTCTACTCCAAGGAATGCCTACTTCTCGGGGCTGCTTCCTCTCTGGCCACCAGCTGCCTAGGACACAGACCACTGAAAGGGACTCCAAGCTGTCCAGGAAACACCTCCTTGGTCATCATCCAATCAGTTAAGAGTTCAACTGGCTCTCTAAGCACTAAACCAAAAATAAGCTTATTAGGAGATAAAGATAAAATTCCTGGCCTTTCCTGCTCCGGGTATTACTCAGTGAAGGTTAATTTGATGTATCATTTTGGACAGGCCATGGTACCAGGATATTTGGTCAGACATTATTCTAGATGTTTCCATGAAGGTGTTTTTAGATGAGATTAACATTTCAACTGGTAGACTCTGAGAAAAGCAAAGTACCCCCATCATATAGCTGGACCTTATCCATAGAAAAGAGACTGAGCTCCTGAAGCAAGAAGAAATTCTGCCCGCAGAAGGCATAGTGACCACTCCACCTCTCTCAGCCTCCATCCCACCAATCATTCCCGTGAGACTCTAGATTCACCAAAGCTCCACAATTGCATAAGCCAGTTCCTTAAAGTGAAATCAATCCATCTCTTTCTCAGTCTAACTACACACACACTCTCACACACACACACACACATACAACCTCCAGAAACCCTAATATTCTATCCTAAAGAATATAAGATTTTGCCCTGAAACTTATTTAAAAGATATAAAGCTTATTTGAAGATTATCAGTAATAACTAAATTAACAGAAAGTCTAAGAAAAGCTGGCCAAATCCTAGATGTGGGACTTACTAGTTCTTTGTCAGTGGATTCACTTAATTTTCCAAAAGTCTGGTAAGAGACACTGCTTTATCCCAATACAGCCTGTCCCCATACTGAACCAAAAACAGTGCCTGATGTAAAAGTCAAGGTGAAAAACTTCAATAATTATTAACATTGCAAATGTACAAAACTAAGTCAGCCCATACACAGATAGAAAAATACATATAGGTCAGTTGTCCCTAGAAAATTTGTAAAGAATGAAAGTATAATTACTGACTGTCATCTTGAAATTACTATCGATCTTAAACTATTATTTGTACTAGTTTGCTCTATTTATCAACAAAAATAAACCTGGTAAAAGTATAGTGCGAGGGATTTAGCTCAGTGGCACCATGCCTGCCTCACTAGCACAAGTTCAATCCTCGGTACCGGAAGAAAAAAAAAAAAAGTAGTATAGCCTGAAGAATGAGTGACTTAGGGGCCGGGGATTTAGCTCAGTGGTTCTACCAGCTGCCTTGAAGGTGGAAGGTCCCAAGTTCGATCCCTGGTACCAAAAAAAAAAAAGAATGAGTGACCTGAACAGAACAAACTGCACTGCACAAAAAAATGAATTGATCGCCACAGTGCTAATGACTAGGCCTTATTAAAGACTCCCATATATGTTGCTAGCATCCTAAGATTATCTATGCCAAAACAATCTTGTTGAAATTTTCTTTTTTCCTTTTTTAGTACCAGGAATCAAACTCAAAGCCTCACGGTTGCTAGGCAGACGCTGCACCTCTGAGCTTCATCCCTGGCCCATGGAATTTTTTTATTGTTCCCTACGAAAGGAAAAGAGAATAGAGAAGAGATGTCATTATTGGTAGGGGGAGAAAACAGAACATAGGCTTAACAGGGACCCAAAAAGATTTCATCACATCATTTACAGCTGTATCTTTATAAAGCCATGACTTTATGAGTTCATCACACCTACCCACATCAGTGGTTTTCAAAGTCTGGTCCTACATTCATCAACCTCAACAATCCCTGAGTGTAAGAAGTGAACACTGCTAGGCTCCAGCTGAGGCTGCTCAGTGGATCTCTGGGGAAGAAGACCAGCCATCTGTCTGAATAAGCAGGCCCTCCAGTAGCCGTAATGCATGAGAATGCTGAGAACCACTGATCTCCAGTGCACTCAGACCTCTTAAGTATGAGACAGAAGTGATTCAAGAATTTCTGCTACACCACTATGGACTCTGTGGAAGAAATTTATACTAATGCTATCCCTCCTTTTTTATAACATCTTCATTCAAAAATCCTTTGCCACCGGGCTGGGGATGTAACTCAGGGTTGGGGTGCTTGCCTGGTATGCAAAAGGCCCTGGGCTCTATCATCAGCACCACAAGAAAAAAAAAAAAGCTTTCCCAATACTCTCTGACCTTATTTAAGAATTTGCTAATGACCTAAAACTGCCATTCCATTCATAAGGCCAATCTATACCTATCAAGACAGAGTAACAGCAAAGATTTTTATGAAGGATGATGGTACAACCCAAGGCAAAACTTACAGACTGACGCACCACATTATGAGTTGCTAAGCTCTGGGCTGAACTTTCAGTTCTTCAATCAAATGGGATATAAACGCAAAGGTCAAAATATATACAATATATCTATAAAAGTGTTGCTTCCCTATAGGACAGTTTTCCAGCAGAGAGAAAATCCTACCAAACAGGCAATTCCTCTGCCAATTTGATTCAAACTATTAATGACCTTAGCAATCCCCTGGAGAGAAAAGATAAATACCTTTAAACTGTTTAATCATGTTCTGATGGTTCTCCACGGCTTCCTTTAAGATCATCTCAGGCTGGTCCATCTTCCAACGCCACTCCATGCCCACGGGATTGGTGTGGTGCCTAAGAACAAGACAAAACCTCTAAGAGCCCCTGTACGAACATCTCAGCTGGTTATCCATAAAACCATAAAATCAAGTTCCTCCCAAGAACTGTTTACAGCTTTCCAATTTATTTTGAATCCTGACATATAGCAGACACAGGTTCCACACCTCTGCACAACACCCAGCTGCTAGGTCGACTTCAGTTGACAGGACACTGTGTCCCGCTTGTAAGCACGCCAACTATGTACGGGTACAAATGCAGGGTAACCTGCCACCTCCACATTCACGCCATATGGGCCAACACTTCATAAAGTGAATGTAGAAATCACACTGATAGCCTACGAAAGATCGGCCCTTGATGTTTTCCCAGGCATGCCCAGGAAACTCCACCTGGAATCTTCTCTCCTACACTTTTATGGAGCAAAAGATGAAGGAGATCAATTTCAACAAGCTCCTGACAGTGGACATTTATTTTCATCCTGTTCAATAGAAGAAAATTGCAGCCAGAGCCCAGCCAGCTATTTTCTGAAATCCGCAGAAAGTCACATCCTAAATCCATATGCTTAGAAAAGGATGCTTAGTTCTGTAACTGTTCTTTTTATACATTTTTGTGGATGATCAAACTCATAACAATACATTCAGCCACTGTGTCTCATCATCAAGCAAAACTTGACTGATTAGTCAATCACCAGATCGCCTTGATGTGACACCGCAAGCTCAGTGCAACATTCCCCAAGTTGTGTTCTTGAAAGATGCTACACAAAACAGAGAGAGGTAGGAGTTCTGAGAAAAGTGATACTCTATTATCCTTTTGGAGAATTCTAAAATTCTCAGATTATTTTTCATCCCTTACACGTTCATAAAAAGCAAGAAAATGTGGAGAGGCCAATACCAATACTCCAACCAGAATGTTTGTCATTTAAGCCACCCACACAGTCTATCTGACTAAATCATGCATCAATTGAAAGACAGAGGCTGCCAGAGTAGCCTGTAACACAAAACCTAACTATATAAGGTTTTACAGTTCGGATCTGGAATGTCCCCAAAGGCTTGGTCCCCAATGCAGCAGTGGTCAGAGGTGGGGCTTTAGAGAAGCACTGGGTCATGAAGGCCATGACCCCATCAACAGATTAAACCCACTGATGGGACCATAATGTGTCTGGCCATTGGAAGGTGATGAAAATTTAGAAGGGATCTAGTTGAAAGGAGTGGGTCCCTAGGAACATTCCCTTGGGGACTGTATCTTGCCTTGGGACGTCACCCGCAATAGCCTGTCTGCCATGAGGTAAGTCACTCTGCTCCATCACATGCTTCCCACCATGATGATCTGCCTCACCACAGGCCCAGAAGACACAGAGCCAAGTGACTACGGACTGAACCCTCTGCGACCAGAGGTAAAATAAACCTTGCTTCCTTTAAGTTGTTTTTCACAGGTATGTATCACAGCAAGAGAAGCTGACTAATACACGAGGCCAGCATTATTCCAATACAAAAGAAAGACATACTGACATTATAAGGAAAGAAAACTAGAGAACACCACTTTCGATAAATAGAGACATAGAAATCCATAGATGAATCAATCCAGCCAACTAAACCAAGCAACACACTAAAAGGAAAATGTGCCATAATCAAGTAGTGTTCATCCCAGAAATACAAGGCTGGTTCAATATTCAAAACTCAATCACTTCATTTCACCATGTTAACAAAATTAAAGTAATAAGAATATGCATTTCAAGATAGAGAAGTAGCTAACAAAATTTAATACCCATTCATGACCAAACACTCTCAGCAAAGCAGAATATAAGGGAATTTCTGCCAGGCATGGTGGCTCACACCTGTAATTCCAGGATCACACCTGGAGGCAAAGGCATGAGAACTGCCATTGAGTTCAAGGCCAGTTTGGGTTATACAGTGAGTTCAAGGCCAGCCTGAACTCCAGAGCAAGACCCTGTCACCCAAAAAATGTAAGAATAAAGGAATTTCTTTAACCTCATGAAGGAGATCAAATGAAAACCTACAGCTAATATCAAACTCAACAGTGAGAGAACACGCGCTTTCTGCCTTGGTCTGTCACCACTCTACTTAGCATGTGAGTCCTCAACTGCAGCTAGGCAAGGAAAAAAGGAAGAAACAAAGCCACCTCTCTTGATAGCTGACAACTGTCTACAGGGAAAATTCCAAAGAATCTACAACAAATACAGAACTAATAGAAGACTTGGGCCGGGGATTTAGCTCAGAGGTTCGGTGGCCAGCCTTGCAAGTGCAAGGACCTGAGTTCAATCCCCGGTACCAAAAAAAAAAAGACTCATACACTTATAGACAGACATGTTCAATGTACAAAAATCAACTGCCCTCATATACCAGCAATGAAAATTGTTGCTGGAAACTAAAAGAATGATTTATAATACCAATGAAAAGTATGTAAGTACATATGAATCTAAAACAAAAATGTATGTGTGCTGGCAAGACATGGTGGCATACGTCTATAATGCCAGCACTTAGGAGGCTGAAGCAGGAGGATTAACATGAGTTGAAGGCCAGCTTTGGGTACATAGTGAGTTCAAGGCCAGCCTGAATAACATAGAGAGATCCTGTCAAACATAAATAAATAAATGTATGTGTGTGTGTGTATATATA